ATGGAATGGGGGAAAAAGGTTTAATACCTCGATTTCCATAAAAATCAAAAAACTTTCATGAGTAGTACCTAGATGAAATTCTTCTCGATTACTGAGTAAGAGATTAACTCAATTTCTTACTATCTGCCTCAAAAAGTCAAAAATGATTAGCACTGTCAGAGATTGTAGCTTTGGCCCTCTTTAGGGATGGGACTTGCTTGTGGACAGGATCCGGACATTGTTAGAACAATATGCTCATGGATTAAGCAAGCAGTGAAGGTATGATTTACTATCTGCCGTGGAAATCAGGAGTTTGGTTATAATACTCTTTCAACAACATTTTAAAAAAACAAAATTAATAAAAGAAAAAACAGAAATGTGCCATGATAGGACAGTTTCAAAAACATCACTTAGATTCCCTTCTTCCCCAAAATGACTCCTAACATTACGGATATCCGGACGATAGCTGCTGCTGCTAAAGAAGGAGGTGCGAGTGGGGTCACTGCTACAAACACCGTATCTGGTTTGATGCATATGAAAGCAGATGGCACATCCTGGCCAGCAGTAGGTGAAGAGAAGAGGTGGACATCTAACTGATTATTGTCTAATTTACAAATTCGAAATCATCAATTCAAGAACAACCTATGGAGGCGTGTCCGGCTCGGCAATTCGTCCTATAGCTCTAAAAGCTGTTTCTGCTATAGCAAGACAATTGAAAGGATTTCCTATTATGGCTACTGGTGGTATTGAAAGTGCGGAAACGGGTCTTGCTTTTCTGAATGCTGGAGCTTCAGTTCTTCAAGTATGCCTCATGAATATGTTCTTACTTCAACTAATAGAATTAATAGCTTTGCGAATGACTTATTTCCACATATTTACGTGCATAGCTGAAACGATTAAAAATCTTTTTGAATAAATGAATCCGAATATTCGTTCGTGACAAAAGAACAAATGAATATTATTCAAATCGCCAAATGTATACTCGAATATTCGATGTGGAGACCCGTATATTCGACTATCAAAATTATCGAATAAGCGGGTATGACTGACAGGGGAAGGATACTTAGTGGCCA